TGAATCTACAGCTTTTTGTTTAGTGCTCATTCTGATTTCATATACATTTGTTACTCATTTTGGCCCAGGTTTTGTTTGTATGGTCTCTTGGTTTTTGGTATGACCATTTGTTTAGCCATTTTTGGAGTCAACCCCTGTTAGGTTTAACAGCGAGTGTCAACAGGATACTCGTGGTGTTTCTGTTTTAGGCTGCAGTGAACGTGGGTAGAGCTTCCCAATTCCCTTTCCCCTACATCGGCTCGGGAGCACTTCCAGGGATGTGAAGGGGTTTGTTTCTCCAATCACTCCGCTGGTTTTATGTGCATAATACCCCATCACATGTGACTGCACGAAGACTAGGGTCCAGCTTAGACAGTGAGGCCTGAGGTAGAGGGGATCTGGACTCATTTAGTATGGTTTTCTTTGACTGGAGCCTTTTGTTAAACTGAGTTCTGTTTTGTAAGTAGTTCACACTTACTTTTGTTTGGTTATAGGTTTTGGTTTGGTAAGTTCTAGGCTTACATTTGTTGCTATAATCTTTGGGTTTTGTAAGTTGTGTACTCTTACTTGGTTACGTTAAGTAGCGCTTGATTTTGCATTGTCATTTACATTTGGTTGCCTGTTTCGCTGTGTTGGTCCCTGAGCACTATCAAAAGGGCTGATTTGTTTGGATGGTATTTTCTATAGGTTGTCTGGTTTGTTGGCTTGGTGAGAGATGTTTGGTTTTTAGTCGAGTCTGTGGCTCAACTTGTAACTTTGCCTTTTGTAATTGTATTGTTGGAGAAAGGATAGTTGAGTGTAACGTTCTCTGGAGGCAGGTGGCGCTGTACATGGTTGCCTCCATTCTGAGTTTTTGAATGGTTTCATTGTTTGTCACCACATCTCCAGATCAACGCTTTGTTCAACAAGGGTGTGGAGATTCCAAAAGCTTGGTGAGTGTAACTTACAAATATTGAATTTGCACTTGGAATTCCTAATTCTGGGGTCGTTCATTTGTTTTACAAAAACCCTTGGTTTTTGACTTGAGGGGGAGGGTGTGACGACCCCAGTCTTGTCTGCTTTGTGTGTTGCTGCTGGCTTTCTCCTCCTTTCAGGATCCAGCCAATGGGAGAGCTGATTGGGACTGGCAGCACCTGAGACGGGTGGGACTGGCCACATTCAAAAGGGCTGTCAGGAAGTTGATGTCTCTCTCACCTGGCAGTAGCAGCCTTTTAAATAAATATTCTATTTTTGGTACCTTTTTGAAACATGTGTGGACTCCAGTTTTGTCCGAACCTCGAGCCAGTTCGTGACAACATAAATTAGTAAATATCTTTAAATTAGTTTCTACAGTCTTACAAATGGCTGGTCATAAAGATCCAAGTTTTACCAATGCATCTTAAATGTTTTGGTTTAAGTTCAAGAATTAAAATGTGACCAGACCATAAAAGAAACCAGAAATGTGGATCGATATGACATACTGTAATACACCATTTACTGCCAACACTTTATCACCTTGGAAGATGTTGATGTTCATTTCATTAGTGATCCGTTTTTGTGTCAGCATTTATAATTACACAGCAGCACTTTATGTTTGCAAAGTAGTATCTGAAGTATCTGAAGGATCCAAATCAACATTTTAGTGCACAGTATTTAAAAAACCAGCCATTATTTTCAATCCCGTAACAGTATTAAAACTGATGAGACAGTAGCTAAATGAAAGTCATTGTGCAATATCTTTGTCTGCTCTGATCCTTGGAGATGTAGAGGGAAGATAAAACCTCCATCAGACCCCCTCTGACAGACATATTAACCTGCTTTTATCAAACATTATTACATTGTGAATAAATCCATCAACATCAATACAAAAAAACATGTCCTTTCTTTCATGCTCACTTAATTATAAAACTGAATACCTGAGGCTGCACCATGTGTCTTCTGATTGCCTTGTTGATGGGGGCTGCTTTTATTTTAGCTGCTGGAGAACATTACAAAACAAGGCACGATTTAACTTATCCCCTAAAGGCTGGCGTAACCAAATTTCATAATCAACAACTTGTGTTTGTGTCTAAGAAAGACCCCTATTTGACTTTTTGGGCTGAGAGCTGACTGGTCCTGTTTTTTTTTCTTGTTTTTCTGTGCGTAAAAGCTGATCTTAAAGATGTGACGGAGGCCAAAAACACAACAAGATACAAGAATTTATTTGCCTTTTGCAGTAAAACCACATTGGAAAAACTGCAAGACTACCCCAGTGTGCACCAAGCTTTTGCCATAGCGCTATATAGGAAACTAGTGATAGGACATTTGAGCCTGGATTTTATTACATGGGTTTGAAAATTGGTTATCTCAGTTTTAAATATGGGCGTGAGCGATGAGCAGTGGAAGACAATATATAAACCTTGGTTTTTGTTGTCCAAAGTTTATACCCACTCTTTGTCATTTGGAGATATGAAATCAGTTTGTGTCAGATTATAGTATATGCACAAAATATGGTGGCAATGATAATATTTTGTGTTTTTTCTTGCCGATGATCCAGGACACTCAACAACATTAATGGACATTGGTCATCTGCCCCTAATGCCCCTCTCTGTGTTTTTGATCATTGCATGCGTGTTTGAACAGTCCTCCAAGATATATAACTACTGTTGTGATTTCGTCTTAAGACACATTTTTACGCTCTGGATTTTAACACAGCGTGAGTGGTGTGGTCCTCTATTTTATTGTTTTATGTTTTTATTCATATTCTTGTTTTATGATTATTATATTTTAACTGTGTATTATTGTAATTGTTTTTTTGCCTGCCAGCCTATTTCAGAACAGGTACTCCCATAGTGCAGTTTCTGATTATTTGTATTGATTTTTCAAGACCCACAGAGTATCGTGTACTATGACTGACATCTGAAACCAGATTCTGAAAGAATGGACTGTCTACTTTCATCAACAAAAATCATTTTGTTTTTAGCTTGTTTCGTTCCCCTGTAATCCCCAGTCGAGTAGAGGGAAGTTTTATTGACATCACAAGTCTCAGACAAAAAGCTGAGAAAAAGAGGATGCAATAAGTGAATCCTGTTTTCAAGAGATCCAGAGGCAACGCTGGTGCCACCTGCTGGCTCGATAAAATATGCTCTAAAGCTAATCCCCACACATTAGATAGAATAGACTTCTGGGAACATGAAAATAGCGGAAAACGCAATCGACGTATTAGTGAGTCAATGGCACACGAGTTAAAGCAGGCAGACTTGCATATTCTTATGTGTTACTTTTATCTGTGCAGCACTTTTGTAAAATGTGCTCTAAAAATGTATCCAATCCCCTTTATTTATAAAGATTAGTTTCTCTTAAGAAGTCATTGAGAGCTAAGGAATTAAGCTCAGAGCATCAACAACTGCATAGTTTGATGTCATGCATGAAGCCTTTACGCACACATTTCCCTGAGCAATCATTAAAAACCTGTCTTTAGCATCACCATTTCAGGTTTGCTAAGGCCTTTTGCGTCGCATTTATTCATCTGCAATACAAAGCAGCTGGTGATAGAGACGGAAAATAACACAAGTGTGTATTAACAACTGTGCATTTGCCACTTGGCTGCATTACCATTTATATTGGTAAAACATCACTGAATGTACACAGAAACGGGAGCATATTGATTGACACCCGTGCACCTCAAAGTGTTGATGCTGTGGTGTGAGGAAAGAGTGGAGGATGAAGGATTACATCAGGTGGAAACCGGTGGGAGTTTGTTAAATCACAGGCAACGTTACAGAATACCAAGTAGGATCGCAACAGGAAGCAACCAGGCTATACGTAATTAGGTCTATTTTGTAAAGTGACATCGCTCTTAAAACTGCGCGTGGTAGAAATGCAAAAAAAAAGAAAACCGCACAGACGAGTCCCTAGTGTGAGATTAAAACGGATTTGAATAAATTCTTCTAAAATGCCGTAGTCTTTTAACAAATCAAAGCCGACGCCATGACTCTGTTCCATCTCCAGCACAGAAGGCCGACGCTGCGGGGGGGTATATGTCACGTCGGTCACCTGCCCTTTGCTCCACCGTCAGAAGATTCATTGAATGCAGAGAAGCCGTGAGCCAATCAAGGAGAGGTATATACATTTCTAACATTTCCAACGGTGTGTTTTGACAGAGCTAATTTTAATGCAATAGTTGGCAACTGGGAGAGTTTCAGAGGTTATTACAGCCTTGATGGATATTGTCGGGAATAGGCTCCTTTTGAAGTAGAGACGGATAAAAACCCCTTTCAGGACCTTTTGAATAAATTACTACGTTTATTGAATATTGATTTTGGGTAGTCTTTTTTTCTGAACAAAATGGGTACAGTTTGCTCAACACAGAACAGAACTTGACCAAAGATAAAGCAGACTAGTCGAGAGATATTGTATGACTGTATGTACTGTACAGTTGTGTTTTGGTAATTCTACTGCATGACATTACAGCAGTGTATTGTGTGGCTTGTGTGATGGGGATGGAATAAAATAATGCTTCATCAAATCCCCTTTTTGAATTGTGTTCTTGTCGTTTGTTGTTCATGTGAAGATACTGTATATGGTGCGAAGGTTCAATATAAATAATCTAATCTTGATGCATGTATAAATTAAATGCATTTGTATCAATAGCTCTCAGCACAAAGTAACAAATCATCTATAAAAAGCTTTGGACTTGTCCAAAATAAAATTAAAATAATCATTAACTGGCACCAAAAGGAAGAAACATAACTCTGGTGTTAAATCACATGGCCCCATTCTACCTCCAACACATGTTAGTATCAAATCAGTCATAATTACGACTTCAGCTGTTGTCAGTTCATTGCTATTCAGCCGTCACGAAATCTTTTTATTTTGTTTTGTTTCTTGCCGGTTCAGGAAGAACAGTTATGATCAGGATTATATTATGTTAATAGTTATGGATAATGACCATTCCGCTCCATATGGAAAGGCCCACACCGGCCCTTTCTGGAACCGGTTTGACACCTCTGATATAAACAGACTGAGACCCTTGAATGCCTGACGGAACAGTCCACACTCACTATGCGGCCGAGTCGTTGAGCTGGTACTCTCGTGAGCGCGTGAAGCAGCTCTGGATCCCAGCGTCGGCCCACAGTCGTCGGATCACGCAGGCGAGGTCATCGGGCAGGATGTCCTTCTCCTCTGCTGTGGCGGCCAACACGAAGAGCTGCCGAGCATCGTCCTCCAGAGGGGAAAGAGGAGACAGCATCAGGACCACACACACACACACACCGAATAAACCATATGGACTCTGTTATGGAAAATTAATAAATAAACAAAATACCCTCGTCCACATATTGTCACTGAAGCGCCTCAAAAAAAGAAAGGAATAAAATCAGTATGGGGCAGAGAACACATGAACGGTTGTAAATCTTTGGTTTAGTAAATTAATCTGTTAATTTTTTCTTAATTTGACACTTTTTATTTGCTGGCCAATTATAAGGTCTGTGTGAAAACGGCTGAAAATTAAGCCCAATCAAACTCTGAATCCTTTATTGATTGATCACTGAACATTTCAGTCATATTTTTCTAAATAGTTGGGTTATTGTTGTGAGTACAGTTTGCTTAGAGACTGTACGGTGTGATAAAGAATTTGCCTTTGACAGGTCAATTGTTTAAATCAACAAAGACTTTGTTTGGTCATTACAACTCTAAATAAATAACAGGTTTAATACATTTACTCAAGTTTGCATTGAATCAAATCTAAACTGTGATGTGATTCATTAATATCCATTATATATATTACATTAAAAAACAAAGCATTTGTTTGTTCACATCTCGCAGAAACTGGACCCAGCCCACAGTGCACCAATAAAGTAAAGCCAAAGTGCGAACACACCCAGTTATAAATACATGTCCAGGACCATCAGACACCAGCAAACTGCCATTACCATCATTCCAGGCTCAACTAAACAGATATTTTGGAGTACATCATCGAGCAAATGTTCCTGGATCACTGTATTCTTGGTAACGCTGCGTCAGGATTGGTGCAGCCCCATTCATCGCTTCATCAGTGCTGGATTTCTAGTGAGTACAAAGTAACAATACCAAACTACCCATTATCAAAACAAAAAAAATCCGACCACCAAAAGAAAAAGCATAATTTTGATCAACAGGACCAACAATGTTTCTGCACTTTGCCTGTATAGTGTAATGGGGCCAGGATGAAGGCCAAGCTTTTGAACAGAGAATTTGTTCTGTTTTTTTTTTTTTTTTTTAATCTACCTATTCAACTTCAACATCCATTCTGTATATTAAATTCAGATGTTAAACCCTTTGGAAGCTTTCAATAAAAATAACTAATAATAAATACATTCTAAATCTGTATGAAACTTTTTTTATGCACAGAATGTTCATTAATGGGCGGCACGGTGGCTGAGTGGATAGCACTCTCGCCTCTCAGCAAGAAGGTCCTGGGTTCGAATCCCGGCCGGACCAGGGCCTTTCTGAGTGGAGTTTGCATGTTCTCCCCGTGTCTGCGTAGGTTTCCTCCGGGTACTCCGGTTTCCCCTACCACTAAAAATATGTCCAATAGTTCTGGCATGCGCTTCCTGTACTGGCGACCCTGCTCCCATCTCTGTGTGGAGTGAGAGACAAATGCCCAAAATTAACAATTGTAAACCGCTTTGAGACTCAGATCTGCAGTGAAAAGGCGGTATATAAATAATAACTTACTTACTTACTTACTTACTAATGTGCATTGTCCCTATGTAATAAATAAATATTCTAGATAGTTAGAATAAATTCCTGTATCCATGCATAACTGACTCCAAAGCACTACTGCACTTCCCTGTTTGTTTTTGTGTGTAATGTCCCCTTGTATTTGTATACATTCATGCAGATCTGTGTAGCACTGTATCCCACAGAAAGTTTCCCTAAGGACAAAAAAACTGCATCTTATTTATCTCATTTTAAAATATAATTGATTGTCCCCGATATGAAATCTGTGCATTCAACCCATCCTCTAATGCCACAAGCAGCTCGGGTCGCCATAGTCCATCTTCAGTGAAGTCGTCCTGACAAAGCCAAGCAGAAAAAAACTGAAGGATTGTATCTCAGGTGCAGGGACGTTGGAAACCGGAGCGCCTGGAGGAAACCCCACACAGACGTGAAAAGAAGCATGCAAACCCCACACAGAAAGGATTTTGGCTGGCACAGTAACGGCGGCTAACCCACGCAGCTACAGTTTGCATTGCATCACTTACCGCATTAAAACAACAGCATGTCAAAGGGGCCTATAATGGACTGCTTACAAGCTGTTTGTGGCAACTCCATTAATTTATAACCCACTGCTTTACAAATCTAATAGATCAGAGGGAAATGAGATCCCACACGTTGAGAATTGCGGCACAAAGAACACGTTGCTCTTTCTGCAAAATGCATCTTGACAGTTCGCTCCATGCCCTGCGTTGCCGCTAATTAATTTGCTCACAGCTAATTTCACAACAACATGATTTATTCCAGTCTTCAATGTCTATTTGCACTTGTAAGCTTGTTTCCGCCATCTTGTTCTAGTTTAGCTTGCATTTATTCAGATAACGCACTGTAAGCAAATCAGGACGCTAATCACACTAAAAGATGAAAAGGAAGGGGATTTTTTTCGAGTTGTATTTTGCCCCCGCGGAGATGCCGGATGGAACAATGCCGTCAATAACACAAATAGGAACATAACTTGGGGAGAAATACAATAAGTGTGTGTAGATTTTAATGAGACCGGACTGGCTGAAAGATACTTGGATCAATGGCAAGCACACAGTAGCTTTTTGGGTCACAAATCAGTTGAATTAGCTTCCTCATTGCCAAACAACTACATAATGCACTTCCACCGCTACATAATCTTGGCCTCTTGGCTCGGACCGTCCAGGCCCTTAGGTTTGAACACAATCTAGCAGAAAAATTTAAACATTTTACAACTTGTGATATCAGGTTAAAAGCAGTAATGTTTGAACACGTTAATACTAAAGTGTGGGAGATTGAAAGAGTTGTATTGTGGAATAGATATTGAAACTCTCACTTGGTAGACAATATTGAGTAGTTTAGATGAGATTAGATTCAGCTTTGTCATTACAAAGTCAGAACAATGCGACGAAATGCAGTTTAGCGTCTAACCAGTAGTGCAGGTGTAGGACAATATTTGCAACACAGATACATATATTTACATGTATGAGAGACTGTACAAAGTTGCTATTGCTGCTACATAAATTATATTGCATCTAATGGGCTTTAACAGGAGTTCAGGAGCATGACTGCTGTGATAAAAACTGTCTTAGTGTCTGGTCAGTAGGCTAAGAGACAGTCTTTGCACAATATTGAGTAGTTTAGAATGCATTATTATGAAATTAAAACGTTGACGGCGTGTATTCCGATCGTGCCCAGAGAAGGAGTTTGGTTGTGGAGGCGCAAAAGGACCAGTTTTATAATAAAGTCAAACCTGCCAAACATCCCCTGGTCTCGGTCAGTGTTTTGTAGCAGGTGTAAATACAGTGAATGGAGAATCTTTGTGTTATCAAGATAAATCAGACCGATGAGCTGTGATTCCACTCTTGTATCGCTGCAGCCATAGTGACGCCCGAAAACAGGACGGCTCCAATTCATTTCATTCAATTTTCTATTTGGACAACTTGTCAAACACAAACCAGAGATGACCACTGCCTCAATCATCCATTTTATGCCTTTGTAGCACATATTTATATTGAAAAAATACTTGTCATGGTCTAAATGCATAGAAAAAGTTAATGTATCAGTATTGTGTTTAAAGAAGCCATCCCAGATTTATTTTCTAATGAGTTCATAAAAATGCTTATTACTACATACAAGTTGTATTATAATCCGTGATTTAATTTATAAACTTGAGCTCATTGATCCAGCTTGTGTATGAATTCCGGCCGTATAAAAGTGCCGAGTAGAGACTTGGCGTGACTCAGACTATCTATGCTCGGACTACATTCGGACGCAAAACTAGCGGTAATCTTTCTCTTATATATTTTGTTTGCAGTGCGTTGCTTTTGTAGCATTTCATCAGTGATTGTTGTAAAGCTTAAGTTGCGCTAATGCTATTGTTAGCATATGTATCAGATCACAAATAAAACTAGATGGCTCCGTGGGATGAGAGCGTAGGGGAAATGAGAAGCCTGTGAGCGAGTTGAGGGGGGGTTGATAAACATTCAAACCTTGCAGACACGGGTATAGCGCCTTTGAATACATCAGTTAACAGAGAGCGCGCGAGATCCCAGGTAGCGCTTGCGGCCCCTCAGATATAATCCACTATCCAGGCCCCTCAGATAGAAAAAGCGGTTGATCTTTTGATTAGCTGCTGTCCGTTTTTCCTGTTGTGTTCTCCGGAGACGTTAAAGGGCTCATTTTTCCACTCCTTGTCGTCAGAGTACGAGAGTAGTGTAAAAACGTCCCAATGATTCTACCAATGAATATAAAAAATAAATTGGGCTTTAACAAATGTTTGAACACATTTATTTACTGTATTACCATGACAAAGCTTCTCGAAAGGAAAGAAAACCAGTGAGACATTTTGAGTTAAATTATCAAGCATTATGTCTAATCAATCAAAGATATTCAGAAAGGAAAGAATAACATTCAAACAGAAACTATATTTTTTAAGAATACTGGCAGAAGTGGATGACATTTTTCTCAGACGCAATTTTGTCTAATTATTGTTATAATATACTAGTTTTGTTCGCCACTTTGAGAACAACATGTGATTCTGTTGTATTTGATTGTTAAAGTACCCAAGAAAAAATATTGATTCCTAAAGTGTTGAATACAAGGCTCCTTCTTACTTGTCTGGCCGCGTCGCTGTAGTCGATCTTGAGTGACGCCATCGCCCTGACGATGGCCATGATGGACTGGATGGTGTTACTGTAGACCACAGCTCTGTACTGTTTACACTCGTCTTCTGAGTATCCGTCTTCATGAATGATCCTGCAAGACAGCGGCAGAGGAAGACCTTTTAAAGCTGGGGCGCCCCAATACTTTTAGATCGTCCCAACGGAAAGAATCTGGCAGAAGTAACACAATAGAGAACAACATGCTAATTAGAAAACATAGTAATAGCATTGCATTGAAGAAAAAAAAAGTCCTGAGTCCTCAATTGGGTACTTTTCAGTCTGAAAAAGTGGATCTAAAAAGGAGTGAAGGAGGCAAAATAAAAACTGGTGACAGAACCAAACTGTTTAAAGGGCGAGGGACTAGTTAAATGTGTCCTACATAGGTTGTTTGGAAGTCTGGGACCCCAACTACAACGAACACTGAGAACTCACTTTGGTCAAATGCACTTCAAAAACTTAACCAATTGTTGCCAATAATAATAGTCTGTGTGGAGGAGTAACAAATGACACTTACTGGGAAGAGATATTGGTGGTATCCAGGACATACTTTAATATAAGCAGGGGTATACAGAATAAAGAACATATCACATTCCGTGGTGCAGGCATGTTTAATTCATGTCAAATTCACAACAACAAAAAGGTGCCATTTCTACACTGCATTTTTTAAATTAGAATAAGCTTGAGATCATTTGCATAATATTACAAGTAATTCAAATGCAGGACTTTGATTGGACCATGCTTGCTAGACTAGAAATTGTATACTTTTTATTTTTATACTTCTTTATTATCTTATTATGTTTAAGTTTATGTTTATCTTTATTATGTTAAAGATAGATATTTTATACGCGGGTTTGATGCTAGAGTAAGAGATTTTATTTTAATTAAAGTTATTGTTCATTTATCTTGTGCTGTGTGCTCCTTACTCCTACTGTTCTGTAACTTGTGATGCAACACTGAAATTTCCCCACTATGGGATGAATCAAGGATCTCTTCATCTTTATCTAGCGAAAGTTTATTGTATTCACCACTTTATAGTTTACAGCAATTACTATTAATCAGTTTAAGAGTCTACAGAAGGGTATTAGCCATAACATTTAACCATTTTTTTATCAAACTTTCACACACAAAACTGGATGAATATGAATTAGTTAAATAATTATTCAAATTTGTGTCACAGGGATCTCTATAATTAGAGCAGTGTAATTAATATAATTTGAATAGCGCAAAAGGTTGAGGCACAATTATCACTAAAATATCTGGAATAGAAGCAATATTACAATTTGTTCATAATTAAAATAGTGCTAAATTTGCAACCCCATACAGGTAAAATACTGCTTTGAAGACTAAATTCTTGCAAATCAATATAAAAACAAATTAACGTGTATAAAAACTATTTTCAAATAAACTGTAGTCGTAGCAGAACGAAACCTATTTGAGCAGAGTTGCAAAATACATTTTCTAATGGAATATGCACACGAACACAGCATCGTCTCAGTTGATTTGGGACGAAGCATTGGATTGTTACTATAACAGAAAGTAAAGTCTCAATAGTGAAACGCCATCACATCAAAACGAGTAGAGAAAGCAGCCCTTTGTTGAGAAAAGTGCTGTGTACCCACTCTGTCTGGAAGCAGCGATGGTTGATGCAGTGACTGGTAAGTGTGCATTGTTCTGCGTTTCCAAGGCATGTGCAGTCGGATCTGTGCGCAGAGCGGCGGTGAGTCAGCTAAGTGTCGCTAATGTGCAATCACAAGTGTGCTTCCTGTCTCCAGATATATGCAGATTTCATGAGGCTCCGGCAAGGAAGTGCAGACAGGACAGATCCAGACATGCTCCCGAACCTACAGAGCGGCTTTGGCATAAAGAAGTGTAGAGCTGCAACTGATTTTCAGGATGTCAGACTATTATTTCTATTTGTAGACACTTTTAAAATGAGATTTCTATCCAGATGTTGAAGTTGGTGAAGAGTTTTATAGACTAACATTAAGGGCATGATGTTTCCACCCCAATGTTTCACAGTATTCTGTTCTTTGGATAAAACTTGGCATTTGTTCTTCTCCAGAGTCGAGTTTTTACTAAAAAGTTTCATTTTGCTTAAATCTGATCATAGGACATTCTCTCTTCCTCTCCTGGATCATCCAAATGCTCTCTTGCAAACTTCAGACATGCCGAGACATCTGGCACTGCGTCCAAATAACATCATACAATACCATACTCTGAAGCATGGGGGTGGAAACATCAGGATGTGGATGCAATTTTTCTGCAAAGGAATCAGGACAAATGTATGTATCCATGTAAAGGAAATCAGCAAATGCATTGAAGATGAAATGTACCTGGGTTATTATTTGTTGCACTATCCAGGCAACAAAGATGTGGGTTTGTAATGCCTAGCGTGCATCGGACTGGCAACTGATTATATCTGTCGCGTATGAGTCGACCATCTGGCAAAAACGGGCAACTCCTAGTAGCAGGCCAGTCTCGGGAATAACAGCGCGTACATCGACAGCAACTGGCTTCAACTACAGTGTGTTTTCTGACATAAACTGTAGAGGGCGCGCAATACACGCAATACACACATGTTTGAGCACGCCATGTATCTATTAGAAGCGCGCACATCGGGTCATATCTCCGGATCTGAGGACAACTAGTTGCCGAAAAGTAGAACACGGGCAACTGACTGAAACTGGAGACTGACTGTTTATTTCCAGTTGTAAGAGCGCTCACATCGACCGATTTCAGCAACTGATCATCTCCCATCATCTCCTCAGTCGCCAAAAGCCGCCTTGCAACTAGTTGTCTCCAGTTACTCTGTCAATGTACGCTAGGCTTAAGAAGCATTTCAAGGTCCTTCAGTGGCCTTCTAAAATATATGCAGAGAGGAATGGGCCAAAATACCAGCAACAGCATGTGAAGACCTACAGAAAACATTTGACCTCTCCTTACAAACAAAAGGGCATCATTTCTACTGTTCTGTAACTTTTCCCGATAATTTAAAATAAATTCTTTCAAAATCAGATGATATTTGATAGATTTGGAGGTGAGGTATATACGAAAATTGCAGCCGTCTCATCTTTTTAAGTGGGAGGACTTGGACAATTGATGGCAGACTATCTTCAGTGCCCCACTATATGTGCAATAAATGTGTGGTGCATTTCTCCTCTACGTGTCACAGGTTATCTGCAGTCCGTCTGAAAATCCAACACAAATATCTTCTCATCACCTACAAGTCCCTCCATAACCTGTCCCTCCCTTTATGTCTGACCTCATCCATCAACACTGTCCCACCTGCCGCCTCATTGCAGTCACAACAAAACCCCTTTCGGCAGCTGTTCCCACTCTCTAGAACACACTACCCACAGGCATACTATATTTATCCCCATATGGACATTTATCTTCACATTTGACCCATCCATGCTACTAGGGCCTCTGTCAGGAGCAGGTATAGCCACAGTACAGGGCCCAGTGACCAATCTGCAGATCTTGATGCTCTACAGGACAATATATTACTTATGGTGCATGATTTGGCTCGTGGGGTAAACCCAGTGGGGGCGCGTCCCGGCTCCAAAAGGTCCATGAGCATGTGTGCTGACATACTTGCAATACCACCCCAGGCCGGTGGGGGTGGACCCAGAGACAGAAGTAATCAATGGTTTGGTACGGCGTCTTCTTTCCCCTCAAAAACGGCTTTAAAGGATGGTCCAAAAATGTGTCAATGCTGTCAAGGGAGTTATTTTTTTGGTCTAGTTTAGCTGCTGTGGACTTTAGGATGCACTTGTTAAATGAATGGGGCTCATGCCGGCTAACACATACACAAATGTGTTTTTTTCACATTTTCCTGCCCCATGGCCATTTTGAGAAATCTCACATAAGGCAAAAAATTTGGTACATCAGTTTCAACGGCGACTACGTCCGTTAATATTTACAGACTTTGTGGAAACCGGAGCATGAAGAAGAAATCTAGACACAGGAAAGAACATGCAAACTGCAGCACTAATCTTTCACGGAAAAAGTTGGGATCTCACTCACTATAGAAACCCACCTGTTCAAAACTGCTTTCTCAGTATATCGTTTTATGGTCCTTATACATGAAGTGTCTTTGAGTGCCCACCCACCCACCATTACTTAAGATATTCCCTTATATGCAAAAGCCCAAAAACACACCCTGTAGTTTCCATCTTCATAAAAAATGAATTGAATGCCTGGCTTGCCCAGAGGAATGTGAATAATTAAGCCCTGTGTGTAGGTGCGTCTCATTGTTCCAAATACAAAGACTGAAACGATATTTCACATCTCATTTTGTCAATGAGTGTGAGGCATTTGACGTGCATTATTTTTTGCATTTTTGTGCTGTCATGCGCACTTTAACATGTACTACCTTTACCAAGTCCATTGAGAGTCTGTCATACTGTAAGATTCACTGTGGTGACAAAGCATTATTATTATGTATCCTATTCATATTTTAAATCACTCTTTATACAACGTCTAATGTAAAGCATTTTTGTACACCTCTATACAGTCACGATGCAACTTAATTTGGTTCTGTGTGCGCATCGTTGATGTGTAGATGAAAGACATTGAAGTATCAGTGTTACAACTAAATGACACTGATCAACAGCCCTTTGATGAGCACAGTGAGAGGAAAATGAAGAGAGGGAGTTGCTCTTAAAAGAGGATCCCTGAACATTTAAAATGACAGCAGATCTAATATCTTCCATTCAGATGTTTTATCAGCCATAAAAGTGACAAGCGCAATTATGAATCATACAGTTTCAATTAGATGAAAGCTATAAAAAAAAAAGGGACACAGAAAATACCTCTAAACACTGTAGTAGCCTATTAATCTGTGGAAAATCTCAACACATACTGCCCAACGTAATCTTCATCTTATCAAATATATTTCAGAATTGTAAAATTATTACTTTTTCAATGCTACATCAAAAGTCTGACGAAGCAGAAGGCACTCTTAATAGCACCATGTTGGGCAATCAGTGAACAAATTAAAGAATGTAAGCCCTGGAGAAACATTTCTAGAAAACAGAAAATAGAGCCAATACAGACTGAGAGAAATCCGTCAGGACCCAGACTTTGCTCCAAATCGCACAGATGACACTTCAGAATGTGGAAGGATCAGGGTCTGACAAGGTTCCATAAACTATTTAAGGAGCAGACTTTAGAAACTTTTGTATAGGCTCCCATACATAAGAGGGGAAACTACTCACCAACAGATTTTAATACATTCTGAAAGTCTGAGGCACCGTTTAGACTGACGCTGTGGAGAGGCTGCACAGCAAGTAGCAAAAACGACCAGACTACTGGACAGCGTTTAGACTGCTACGGAAAACGATGTAGTTCTAGCCCCGGCCAGTAGTGGGCAGTGGAACTTTACAATGCGACACATTTGACCCTCAGCAGTAAAACCACTTCCTCAACAACATCCTCCTCAGGCCACGGCAAAGACGTGAAAGAATGCGCCAATATCATTCTGCATTTAACATCAGCTGCGAAAATGGGAACTGAAACTAGAGCTTTGCGTTTGGTTTGGACGGACGAATGAGCTGAATTCTTCGTGTAGCGCTCGAAGCATACCTATCATTGGTTGAAACGGCGCAATAGTTGTTTACGTGTTGTTCTTGGCTACTGCACATTTCCAAATATACGTGTGGGTTCTGTTCCACTCTGGAGGCAATTTCTCTATCGTTTTACTGTTGCAGTGTCTCGGTCTAAATAGGGCCTGAGAATCCAGACTATATAAATCTGATGAGACAAATCCACAATATTCTCAATGATGAAAAGGATAATAAGGTAAAATAAATTTTAAAAAACTCGCGGGAAAGAACTGTCAAAACACTGATATACAAATATATAAACAAATATGATTAATATGAATGTATAAAAAGACATTGTATATACATTTGATGTACATATTTTTGCTGTTTTTAAATTTAAATACATTTTATATTTTCAAAAAAATTAAATCTATACATTTCTAATACAAGCCAGACTCTCCCTGTGCGCTCAAATGCATCACTGACACATAAACAAGTTATACCGCATTTAGAATTGACGGCACCAGCACCTCGGAATGGATTGTGGTTTTTTTTTACAATACAAGGATTGAAAATTATACCACCACCGACTGTCACTTACTTCATCTGCTTGACAATGGTGCTCTTCCCGGACTCTCCAGCACCTGTGGAGGAGAAAAAAAAGAAGATGTGAGCATTTCCAAACCTGCCATCTTAGAAATACAAACTAAATGTCAATACAATGAAACATCTTGGGATAACAACGGAGATTTCTACCACCTAAAATACATTGCTACAATTAAAAATATTGTGTCTAAACCAGAAATGAAAAACAACAGGGAATCTATAGTAGGCTACAGTCTACTGCTCACTGGTCTCTCCAAACGAGTTCTAAAACGGCTGAAGAATATTCAAAACGCTGCAGCTCGAGTGCATGGCCTTGCATGAAAGTACAGCCGTGACTTGTTAGTGCCAAATGAACCAACTCAGACACTGGGCCCCAGCAGAAGGCCAGTCCCTGTGCTGCCCAGAGTCAGAACTAAACATGGGGATGCAGCAGTTCAGGTGTATGCTGCTAAAATCTAGAAGTCCTCTTAAAGATGTACAGGAGGCCTCATCTCTGGCGTCGTTTAAGTCCAGACTGAAAATCCTTCCTTTTTAGCTTCATAAGTTTAATTTATTGAGTTTTAAAACCAACTTTTTATTCTGACATTTACAACATTCATGAATTATAATAAAAACTAAATGTGTATGAATAGGTTTTTGCAATGCACTTTGGGTTGTACAATTGTGCTTTATATATTTTATAAATCAGTAAGCTACGGCAGATGCCACCAAAAAAAAAAAAAAAACAAAGACTGGCACGCAATGTACCCCTTTAATAATTGACTCATAAATGTGGTGAGGAAAAGTTTGACAGTTTAACTACTGTGATTTTAGGCCAAAACTTCATAGCCTCAAAAAGTCCTTAATTAAAAATGGAGAGATTATCTTCAATTATTCAAGCATAGGTGCAAAAGTGCTGAGGGGCAGATAAAATGCAGTGGCAAAAATAATTTGTAAATTCTAAATATCTTCTTCAGGGTTTTCATCTGTGTCTGGGGTCCAGTCTGCACCTGTCCCACCATTTGACCCCCCTCTGTGGCCCTGTCTCACAACCATGAGCGCATTAGCCAGTCAGGAGGGTGGTGGTGGGGGGGGGGGGGCTGTCCTCGTCCTGTCACAGCCCATCACATCCACACAAGCACTGGGAGCAGAGAGGTGTGAGGGGGGGAGGGGTGAGAGAAGGGAAGAGCGAGACGAGACAGGAAGATGGCCAGGGAGAGTCGATACGGAAAAGGGGTCTGTGCACTTTTATTTGTACGGTTTTTTGCAGATATGCTGCATTTAAGGGCATAAAAACAGTACTTTTATATACAAAAGTGAATCTATAATTTACAAACTTTTGGATATAATAATAATATGCATGTGCTTCCACCATGCAAAAAAATATGAAGTAATATTTTTTTAAATCTCACCTTCTTACTGTGTACAAGATTTGCCAACAGGACAAAGCCATGTAGTCTTGTTTCAAGAACTGTTGCTTCATTTTCTCATTCCAATGGAGACATTTCTTTCATCTTTTAAAAACAATCTGTTAGCTTTTTCCCCACTGGCAAATCTTGTTTTAAGGCAGTCAAGTTGTGCTCAAATAAAGATACACTAAGCCAAATTTGAGAAATGTTGGACTTAATTCTCATCACTTTTTGCAGTGTATTTGATAAAACATTGGTGCAAAAGAAAATTAATGAAGCGATGAGGATAAGGGGTGAAAAGTGTTAAAAGCAGCAGCCTATAGAAGCTATAAGAGACTTCACTCATGGCCTGAGCAGACACACACTGTGGACATCTCAGTGGGGAGAACCAGACATGAGGGAAGATTAAGGTGCCGTGTAATGCGGTGCCTGGTCCACTCCATGGAGGAAGTTTTTGTATTTCAAGGGATTTTTTGTTTATACATACATATATACATGTTTTGGTTGTTTAAAAAAATATGTTACATGACAAGGGAATCAACACATGGATTTCTCCTACGGGGATCAATAAAGTATTTATCTTTCTATCTATCTCCAGTCTACTCCTTGACACTGTGGGCTTGTACTTAAATCATCTACAGTAGTTTGGTGAACCGTTTTTGTCAGACAGCGACACATTAGAGATGGCGTAACTTCAGTGACAGCCACAACTGTGTTGGGGTATTTGCCAGTGATGGGAATAACGGCGTTACTAGTAACGGCGTTACTTTTTTCAGTAACGAGTAATCTAACTAGTTACTTTGACTGTAACTATAACGCCGTTATCATTTCCGACATCCCGTTACTGCGCGTTACTCAAGACGCACAATGAACTTCTCTTTTTACTTCGTGATAGGACTCATGCGCGTTGTCATGAGAGAAGGGAGGATGAGAAAACCTCAGCAATTATTGGCTGATGTAAAACATTTCTTTACAATCTACATGTCTACAGTTGAGAGGATAGCTCATAAATTGTGTTTTTGAAACAAATATGGGTCTTAATCGCGCTCAACCACGGCTTGTATCACCGTGAGGCCAGCCTCAGAGGAGCGCATGTGAGCGCAGAAGTCGGCTTCATACAATTCCATCGATAAGCTCCTTGCTCTTCCTGGTTTATCTGCTAAGGACAGCAACAGGTTTGGCTAACATACATATAACACATTTTAAGATAATTTAAAATGCACTTAGGGTAATTTTTCAATGACTATAGGAATGATAAGAAAGAGGTGAAGTGTAAGACTGTTGATTTTACAAATTGGATGCACCCGGCTGCATCTAGCAAAACAGAGGTGTTTATGGAGGACACACGCGTTTTGTTTTACTTTTTAAAACTCATTGGACTCATTTCCAAATGGAGGATTACATATCTAAGCTCAAACTATTATCTGGACTTAAACACAGAACTGGTCTGAACCGAAGAGGCCTGTGCAGGTCATTTATAAGGTAAGACCTATAACTCATAGTTTCGCGTTTTGTATGAACAAACAATGCGGGCATGAAACATTCTGCTGTAGCCAAACAAATTGTGAATATGCCGCTCTCTTGGTCCTGTTGATTTATATGATATATATGTTCATCTGATTGGGCTGAAGTCAGTGCTTCACCGGTGTTTCCACATTCACAGTGGCGGGTGTTGGTGTTTAGTGCTTACAGCACAGAGAGAGATGAAGAGTGAACAGGACTTCAGCAGCAAAACAGCCTTTTCTAGATGGAAATATTGGCACTATTTCAAACTCACTGAGGTTAAAGGTAAAAATGCGCACGTCGAGTGCACATTATGTTTCAGAACAAAACAAAAAAGTAACGCAATAGTTACTTTTACTGGTAACTAGTTACTTTTATAGTGGAGTAACTCCGTTAGTAACTCATACTTTTTGGGAGAACTAACTACAACTAATTACTTTTTCAAAGTAACGTGCCCAACAATGGTATTTGCACATAAGTACACAGGGAGTGATTGCAACTTTTTAGGAATGATCATTTGGACCTCCTTTCCATACGAGGGGGTGAGCCAGGATAGGTCAGTCAACGAATTCAAACACAGGCTTTAGAATGTTAAAGGCAATTGACCTTCACTTTAGTACTACTGTGGATCATTTCATGAAGTGATCCACAATTGTATCCAGTATGATTGCGTACCTTTTTCCACACCACAACTTGCAGATATTTGCTCAAATCGAAGGCCAGACTCAAGGCAACATGACCACACTTGCACATGGATTGAAATAAGCTAAAAGCGGCGCATTACGCAACTGCTCTTAATGGTCGTAACTTTCACAACTTTGAACTGTGAAATACAAGAATGCCGTTAGTGTGAACCGGGCATCATTAGAGAACAAAAGTGTCCTCTTTAAAATGTGAAGTGGGCGATGACAGGAGCAGATCCTGTGGGCGCTGCATGAAGGTCACCTCTGCCGCCAATATAAAACGCTGCCATTAATATTTCAGGCCTCCAGGGACCACATCACTGTCCTACAGGTATTTTGGGACTAATGAACAGACTGTGCGGAAACTGGAAAGAGAAATGTTGAGGAACCGAATTAACAGCACGTTTGTTGGTCATGGATGAGACTTCACAGAAAAGGCAGTCTCCAGTTTGACTTGTGTTGATCATTTTCAAACTTCATGAAACTTTACATCATATGTTAATGAACAAGATTTTGTGTGCCATTTAGTTTGGAATATTTATTTGAAATAGACTGACAATCAATTCCGCTTTGTTAGACTTTAGGCGCAATTTTAAACATACAGACAGAACAAAAATGGATGTCCATCCATCCATCCATTTTCTTCCCCTTAATCCATTTCTGGGTCGGGGGGGTGGCAGTCAGAGCTGCAACCAGTCCACAGAGCACCAGCCCCTCACTGATCCTCCTGCAGGTGGTGAGTCCACAGGAGCTGAGATCTTTCAGTGGGGGCTTCAGGCAAAGTGGGGTTAAGTGTCTTGCCCAAGGACACAACGACAGCAGTCATCAGTGGGAGTTATGAAGTAGGTCTTGAGGTGGACTCGAACCCACGACCTTCAGGCTCAAAGGCCAATGCTCTACCAACTGAGCTACTGTCGCCCCACAAATGGATGTGTTTTACCAATTTCTTCCTTGTTCATTTAAGTTCTTTAAAATGAGTAAAAAATGTTAATCAACTGATCGATTCATGGCTTCATCTCCCTGTACGAAATGAGGAATGTCAAATTATTATTTCTAAATTGTCTTAACTATGACGATGGTCCTCATTACTCAAACAAGACATACCATATCCTAAATGGATTTTGTAGCCATCTCAACCCTTTAGGTGCAAGAGTAGCCAGGACATTTTCTATACAGCAACATGGCTTCCTGGAGAGTTTCCTTACATTTCTCGTATTAATTTATATTGTTGATTATAGTAGTCACAACATCCATTATAGGAGTTTTGAGGCACCCACCAGAACAAAATAAATAAAAATCATTCTTCCATGTATTTACCCCTTTAGGAGTGTAATAAATTGGTTATGCCCACGCAACTGCAAAAATCTAAAATGTATAACTTTAACTCATTAACTTCCATTGCTTTACCGTTCACTATTAAACTTCTCACAGTTAAATTCTAATAATATGTCAACAACAGCAGCT